ATCATATTCGCTTATAAACTGTTTTCTTTTTCATTGTATTTTTGGTTTATTTGAAGTTAAGCACAAAGCTACACGCCCCCCTCCACAGTTGCTTTTTGCTTAATCAAGCAAACAAAGCTATTCAATGGGCTGTCTGTGCTTTGCCCACCACCGGTATCGAAACCCGGTTTCTAGCGTTATAAGTCCGCAGACATACCGCTGTGCTGCTGGTGGGGCTTTTCATTGTATGCGTATAAATAATCATTAATAATTTGAAACATTTTATTTATTTCTTCTACACACACTTTTGTAGAACCTCACACATTTTACTGTAATTACTTACAGGAAGTAGGAAAGCTGCGTTTTAGGATGCCAATTTTATGCCTGCGGTGGCTAAGTCTGAGGGATTATACAGCTAAAATTCGGGTCTCGATACCCGCGATAGGAAAAGCACAAATAACCTGTTACTTGATTACTAATTTTATAGTACGTCGAGCTTTTCGAAAACATCCCCGTAACATCAGCGGAAATGCACTAAATATTATTATATTTGTTTGTTTGTTTGTTTTGAATTTCGCGCAAAGCTACACGAGGGCTATCTGCGCTAGCCGTCCCTAATTTAGCAGTGTAAGACTAGTGGAAAGGCGGCTAATCATCACCACCCACCGCCAACTCTTGGGCTACTCTTTTACCAACGAATAGGGGATTGACCGTCATATTATAACGCCCCCACGGCTGAAAGGGTGAGCATGTTTGGTGGGACGGGGATTATTATTATATGATTAATTTCTTTTATCCATCTAACCTACTCAAACACGAATTTATTTACTCACGAATGGGACAAAATTATGCATACATAATTAATGCCTCTCGGTAATGAAAGCACTATCTTATCAAGCGAAATAATACCAAAAGTGTTAAGTATTTGTCGAATACTAATACTGTACAGAAGACCAAAAAAAAATATAAATAATTCTGATTTATTGGTATAGTTCAAAAATGGATCCTGGCTACTTAAGGATCGTCCTAACATAAATATTGTATAAAATTTAAAGTAAAAAATTAAAAACCAAAGTCATATACCGACTTAACAAATTAATTAGGGATGCACGGGTACCCGGCCAGATATTCGGCCCCGGCCGGATATTGGGGTACCCGGTAATACTCGGCTCTGGCCGAGTGTCTAAATTAGGCATCTAACCCCCTAATCTTTGTGAAAACTAAAGCGGTAATGAAAGTTACAGTCAATAATTGGTTTAGTTATATAAAAACGTGTTCCGAGCAACAATAGGGGTTGATAACAGGCATGGCTTGAGAAGTGGACTTCTGGGGAAGGTGTGGGTTCTGAGAACAATAAGGGTTAGGGTTTGAGAAGTTGGGGCTAGGCATTGAAACTTGAAAGTAAAACCTGAATGTTCTGTTGGTGATTCTTCGGTTAAATGTAATAAAAGTCAATTTTGTTTTTGTGTCTAATTTTTGTGTATGTTTTTCTTTTTTGGGGGGGGGGGAGCAAGGGGAGAACTCGGACCCGGTATTCGGCCAAATTTTACTACCCGTGCATCCCTAAAATTAACAGATCTTCCACGGGTTTTAAATTATTCTAAAGCACATCATAAAAGGCATGCGTTTAATTTAGAATAGCCCCCAGTGGCACAGCGGTATGTCTGCGGACTTACAACGCTAGAATCCGGGTTTCGATACCCGTGGTGGGCAGAGCACAGATAGCTTTGTGCTTAATTACAAACAAACAAAATTAAGAACATTTTCTAAAGCAATTACAGTCAACTGAAAATACACTGGTTTTGGATTCTGTAGTTAGCGTATTATAAAAGTATTAGCTTTTCTTCAAAGCTTTGTGTAAAATAAAAGATTTATATATAAACCTTTAAAAAAGTTTAAATTCATATTATGTTCAGCTCTCAGAGTTTAATGAATCGTTTATCCGTTTCAAGTGTTTTCACAGGTCTAGTGGCCAGCAAGGTAAATCTTGTAGTAGATATAGGATAGATAAACATGAATCTACAAAATTAATGTAGTTGGGTTAAAAATAAGATAAACATGAATCTACAAAATTAATGTAGTTGGGTTAAAAATAAGATAAACATGAATCTACAAAATTAATGTAGTTGGATTAAAAATAAGATAAACATGAATCTACAAATTAATATAGTTGGGTTAAAAAAGATAAACATGAATCTACAAATTAATGTAGTTGGGTTAAAAAAGATAAACATGAATCTTCAAAATTAATGTAGTTGTGTTAAAATAATCTTAAAGGTGAAGAAGTATTTTGAATGTATCAGTTTTTAAACTTTTTCAGAACAGACTGGAGGATTGAAACGATGTTTACAAAAAATACACACAAAAAACAGCTAATCACACTCAAGAAAAAAACCAAACTCGACGTTTCGGCTTACGCTTTTCTCAAAGGTTATATCGTTTTTATATATATTTATATGTGACGTTGTAACTCTTGAGAAAAGGTCCCCCAGTGGCACAGCGGTATGTCTGCGGACTTCCAACGCTAGAAACCGGGTTTTGGTACCCGTGGTGGGCAGAGCACAGATAGCCCATTGTGTAGCTTTGTGCTTAACTTCAAACAAACTTGAGAAAGCCGTAAACCGAAACGTTGAGTTTGAATAAAATCGTTATTTTGTGGAGTGTGATTAGCCGTTGTTTTTTATTTTGTTTAATAGTTTGAATGCTTTATACACAGGGATATATCCTCCATTCATATTTGCAGTGTTATGTTTATTGTTTGTGTGACTTTTTGTTTTATCTTCAAAGTGATAGAATTTTCCAGTTGAATAGACAGGAATTAATTAATAAAATTTAATAAGATTAGACAGTTTACTTTCACTCAGTTATCATAGAAACACTGAATGTTGTTTTTTACTGATTTATTGTTAACCAACTGCTATGCAACAGTGAATAAAAATATTGTTACGTCTTTGTTCGTTTGTTAATTTTCCGTAAAAATTCTTTCCGAAGAAACTTTAGCGATACAAGTCCTTTCTTAAATAAAACTAGTTTATTCTTTCTG